TAAATAAATAAATAAATAAAATAAAAATAAATCTCTCCCAGTTTTTTTAGCTAACTGATAATCAAAGCATTGGTTTGGACTCAGAAAATTGATTCAGAGCCTTTTCTCAGCTCTTTGCCTAAAATCATCTTCCCCCTGGACTTGAGGTTCTGGCTTATATCTAGTAGCAATAAGCATTTTTACTATTTGAGGATTATTTAGTGGCTTACGGCCTCAAATTGTACTCTAGTAAGAAATCCATATCACAACGCTTACACTTTTTAGCCATCTCAGATAGTGCCCGTGCTAGGGACAGAGGTCGCCAGGGATATCTATTCAGTATCCTTCACAATCACCAAAATCGAAAGGAGCCAAACCCTGCAGCCCTCACTCAGTCCTCCCATGACTATCAGCAACAATCAAACCAGGGATCTTCAGCACAATCCCCAGCCACCTGGGTTGAGGAATAACTCCGCTAGCTGTTTGTAAGTAGCAGGCTGTTACTGAGCCAGCAAAGTACAATTGATTAAATTTCTACTGAATTTAAGTGAAGAATAAGTCTATATGCCACTGTATTTAAATTAATTTATTATAACTGTGCCCCCTCCTCATAAAAAGGACCCACAACATTCTAGTGTATGTAATTTTTGGTAAACTGAACCATTTATTCTCAATCTTTTCCTAATATTTAAGTCCTGATAATCCAATCACCACCTCCATAGAATTCCCATTGAGTCCAGGATAATGGGCCTTCTATTATAAATGTTTTCATGCTTTGGTACGTGAAAAATATCCAGAGTTAATCATTCTGTTTGGATATGAAAAAAAAGGGGCGGACTTCCCTGACCTTTTCTCCAATGAGAGTTTGATGTAACCCCATTGAAGCAAATTGAAATTCATTTGGCATAAAACAGAAGAGAACAAAAGTGTGCGTTTCCTGTCTTCTTAAGAAGTTCTAATTTGTTCACATATTGTAAGTTATGTACCTCAGCCAGCAGCATATTAGCTATGCCAGCCCATGCAGTAACAGAGTCAGCCTTGCATAATAATGATGTCCCCAAATCCCAATTCCTGGATGATATATTAGGCAATAAATATTAGGCTACCTGTAACTAGAGTATGTGGAGGTAAAAACGCAGCACATAGGATGTCATCTTGATGCTGTATTCCTCCTTTCCATTCTGCAGGCAGAACAAAAAACTGAGTCAAGTTGCTCAGTCGGAAGACAGTAATTATTCTAATAAAAGAGACATGCAAACAAAAGAAAAGCATAAGTGAACCTAGTCATATCTGACCACTTCAAAAAATGCCATTGGTATCTTTTTAATATAATCATTTACTCTAATAATCTTGAGTGGAAAAATTTTTAAGCTCTGTCCTTTTGCTTTCCTTTGCCACTGAAATTCTTCTGTGTTACAATCCAAGCATGATACTTTTAGCAGCTATTGTTCTATCATTCTGCCAAAACAAAATGCTGAATCTGTCCCCATCATAGCACATACTGTTCCCTGCAGCATTCGTATTAAGGGGATATATTCTCTAACCAGAGCTGAGACATGATGAAACATTTTACTGATTCTAGAAAGTGTGGAAAATACAATAAAATAAACCTGCAGATTTTGACATTTCATGTGTCAAAAACTCCAAAACACATGGGATGTCATCTTCTCTCTCAAGACCTCACTTAAAATCTTTCACAGTAAGAATTTCACTTCCACATCTTCCAGTTGGGGATGCAGCAAAAACAAAGCAAAACTGATGTCCATATCCTAAATGAAGGAATCAGCCCTGCTCCTAGTGAAGTCAGTGAGAATGTTCCCATTGATTCCATTGTGGTCAACATCACACGAAGTGTCACTATTTGCAATAATGCAAAATCAAGCATTTCTTGATTTGTGTGTGGTCACTAGTCTTAATGACCAACGTACTTCATGTTCTACATCAGTTAATATCAAAATTATCATTCACTTCTCCTTCCCAGTGACAGAGCAAACACTCTTCTTAATGGCATCTGTTAGCTTTGAATTAGAGACTGTTATTTAATAGAGTGTAAGAAGGCCACCACTAAATCCATTTCACTTAGATTCACAGATCAGGCATCTGACCCACTGATATAAAGATGATGGTTTGTGACAGAGAACTGTACTGGGGTTATGACTTCTAGAGTAAAAACGTTTTTGATGGTGTCAGATTCTCTTGGCCAGTTGGCTGTAGCTTAAGATAAATTTAGTACAACATCATACTACCTATGGGACAATGGCGTAAGATTCACACCACAACATCATTTTCACCACCTGCAGCCCCACTCCAAAAGGTTCCACATAGGTAGACCCTTGCACTCACACAGAGCTTAATGAAAACCAATGAGGTTTCCCTGGGGACATGGCTGCACTCATGCAGAGTTCTTTGAAGCAGACAGGAGGAGATGAGGATGGTCCAAATCTCCAGCTTCCATTTACCCACAGGCTGGCAGGGAACAAATTGAACCAGCTAACAAAAGTTCTTCCTCCCTCGCATCACAGTCGGATGAAATCCATTGTGTAAAGTTAGCACCTCTGCCTTGTCTATCAGAGGGGTGATGGCGTATGGATTATCTTTGAAGATAACCAATCATTCCCAAAAAGATCTGAGAGAGGGAATGTGATATATATATAATTCAGGTAATCTCTACCAACCAGAAGTGGAGTGTGGGGGCAGGAGTAGTAACAATTAGAAATTAATGGAGATATCCCATCTCCTAGAACTGGAAGGGACCTTGAAAGGTCATCGAGTCCAGCCCCCTGCCTTCACTAGCATGACCAAGTACTGATTTTGCCCCAGATCTCCAAGTGGCCCCCTCAAGGCTTGAACTCACAACCCTGGGTTTAGCAGGCCAATGCTCAAACCACTGAGCTATCCCTCCCCCCAAAAACTTGATCATCACTTTCTGGAAGGACAATCAGAAAAAGGGCTTGTTTCACTATTGGCAAAATCAGTGCCGCTGTGATCAATGCAGTGGCATCAATTTAACGGGTCTGGTGAAGATACAGTAAGTCGATGAGAGAGCACTCTCCCGTCAACTTCAGTACTCCACTTCTCCAACAGGCAGAAGCTATGTTGATGGGAGAGCATCTCCCGTCAACATAGCATAGTGTAGACACTGCTGTAAGTCAATCTAAGCCACATCAGTTTAAGTTACATAACTTACATAATTTAACTAATGTAATTTAGATCAACTTACCTTGTTAGTTTCAGGTCAGTGTCTTTGTCCTGGTCTAAAGTGATGGACTTTCAACAGGCTGCTGGGAAAAAGCCATGCAACCTTTGCTAAAGTGCAAGTCTTTCAGTTATGTCTAATTTATAGATTGTAACAACAGGATTTATCCTCACTGCATGAGGCTTTGCATAGCATCCAGTTCCAACTTGTTTTATTCTACATAAGTTGATTTACACTGATTGTCTATTTCCAATGCCAAATAAAATATGGTCTATTTAAGAGTGCTGGTATCATTGGCTACTGTTGAAGAAAATTTGCCACTAGGGGCTGGTTTTCACTATGAGGAAATCGACGCTGCTGCAATTGATGCAGCAGGGGTCAATTTAGCAGGTCTAGTGAAGACCTGCTAAATCAATGTCAGAGCACTCTCCGGTCAAGCCCAGTACTTCACCTCTCTGAGAAGAGTAAGGTAAGTCACCAAGGCCTGATTAAATGCATTCTAGAATACTCAAGGAGCTGACTGAGGAGATATCTGAGCCATTAGCGATTACCTTTGAAAAGTCATGAAAGATGGGAGAGATTCCAGAAGACTGTAAAAGAGCAAATATACTGCTAATCTATAAAAAGGGAAATAAGGACAACCCAGGGAATTACAGACCAATCAGCTTAATTTCTGTACCCGGAAAGATAATGGAGCTAATAATTAAGCAACCAATTTGCAAACATCTAGAAGATAATAAGGTGATAAGCAACATGGATTTGTCAAGAACAAATCATATCAAACCGACCTGATAGCTTTCTTTGACAGTGTAACAAGCCTTGTGGGTAGGGGGGGAGCAGTAGACGTGGTATAAGTTGACTTTAGTAAAGCTTTTGATACTGTCTTGCATGACTTTCTCATAAACAAACTCGGGAAATGCAACTTAGATGGAGCTACTATAAGGTGGGTACAAAACGGGTTGGAAAACCATTCCAAGAGAGTAGTTATCAGTGGTTCACAGTCATGCTGGAAGAGCATGACTGTGGGGTCCTGCAGGGATCAGTTCTGGGTCTGTTCTGTTCAATATCTTCATCAATGATTTAGATAATGGCATAGAGAGTACACTTAAAAAGTTGTGCACAATACCAAGCTGGGAGGGGTTGAAAGTGCTTTGGAGGATAGGATTAAAATTCAGAATGATCTGGACAAACTGGAGAAATGGACTGAAGTAAATAGGATGAAATTCAATGAGGACAAAAGCAAATTACTCCATTTAGGAAGGAACAATCAGCTGCACACATACAAAATGGGAAATGACTGCCTAGGAAGGAGTTTATCTGGGGGTCATAGTGGACCACAAGCTAAATATGAGTCAACAGTGTTACACTGTTGCAAAAAAAAATGAACATAATTCTAGGATGTATTAGCAGGAGTGTTATAAGTAAGATACAAGAAGTAATTCTTCCGCTCTACTCTGCACTGATTAGGCTTCAACTGGAGTATTGTGTCCAATTCTAGGTGCCACATTTCAGGAAAGAGGTGGACAAATTGGAGAAAGTCCAGAGAAGAGCAACAAAATGATTAAAGATCTAGAAAACATGACCTATGAAGGAAGATTGAAAAATTTTGGTGTGTTTAGTCTGGAAAAGAGAAGAGAGGGAACATGATAACAGTTTTCAAGTACATAAGAGGTTGTTACAAGGAGGAGGGAGAAGAATTGTTTTTCTTAACCTCTGAGACTAGGACAAGAAGCAATGTGCTTAAATTGCATCAAGGGAGGTTTTGGCTGGACATTAGGAAAACTTCCCATCAGGATGGTTAAGCACTGGAATAAATTGCCTAGGTAGGTTGTGGAATCTCCATCATTGGAGATTTTTAAGAGCAGGTTAGACAAACACCTGTCAGGAATAGCCTAGTCTTGCCATGAGTGCAAGGCACAGGACTAGATGACCTCTCGAGGTCCCTTCCGGTCCTATGATCCTATGAAGTCGACAGGAAAGCGTCTCCTGTCAACACAGCACAGTGAAGACACCGGGGTAAGTCGACCTAAGCTACGTCAACTCCATCACGTAGCTGGAGTAGCGTAACTTAGATCGACATACCCTGGTACTGAAGACAAGTCCTTAGATAGATGGTCTCCAACCAGTAGATTGCGATTGACTTGTCGATCCTGAAGCCTCTGCCAGTCGATCGCAATCTCCGGCCACTAAACGTCCGGCAGTGCAGCGGGACTAAGGAAGACTCCCTACCTGCCCTGGCTCCGCGTCGCTTCCAGAAGCGACCATCATGCCCCTGAGGCCCTGGGGTGGGGGCAGGGGTCTCCACGCACGGCTCCTGACTGCAAGCACCAGGGAACTGTGGCAATAGAAGCTTCAGGGGCAGTGCCTGCAGAGAGAGTCAATACATGGAGCCATGTGCCCTCTCCCAGGGGCGGCAGGGAGCCTGCTTTAGCCCTGCTGTGCTGCCGACCAGGAGCTGCCTGAGGTAAGTACCGCCCGGCAGGAGCCCACACCCCAACCCCCAGCACTGAGCCCCCTCCAAGAGCCAGCACCCTGTACCCCCTCCTGCATCCTGAACTCCCTCCTGCACGCCAACCCCCTGACCTAGCCCTGATCGCCCTCCCGGAGCCAGCACCCCATACTTCCTCCTGCACCCCAACACTCTGCCCCAGTCCAGAGCCCCCTCCTGCACCCAAACTCCCTCTCAGAGCCTGCACCCTGCACCCCAACACTCTGCCCCAGCCTGGAGCTCCCTCCTGCTCCCAAACTCCCTCCCAGAGCTTGCACCCCGTCACCCGTCCTGCACCCCAACTCCCTGCTCCTCCTCCCACCCTTCAAACACCTCGGCCCCAGCCCAGAGCCCGGACCCCCTCTCGCACCCCAATCCCCTGCCTCAGCCAGGTGAAAGTGAGTGAGGGTCGGGGGGAGTGAATGACGGAGGAAGTGGGGATGGAGTGAGCGGAGCGGGGCCTCGGAAGGGGTGGGGCAGATCCTGGGTTGCACTTAAATTCAAAAAGTGATCTTGTTTGTAAAAAGGTTAGAGACCACTGCCTTAGACATTCCTGAGAGAAGGAAACTAACACTCTGTCCTTAGCAGTACCTGCTTATGCTCCCATTGCCTCAGAAGCATGGGCACAGGAGAGTCCATTCTGAAAGAGCTGCTGAAAGGACGCTGCTCATTTAGAGCAAGGGGAAAGCCTAATAACCAGGAGAAGCATGAGGCTCTGGAGATCTCAGGTAACAAGGCTGAATACTTGCCTGCTTGCCATAAACAATGTGGGGACAGCTAGTCATCAAATGAAAATGATGCAATACCACCAGTGCACTCAGCTCATTTACTTCTCTGTAGTTCGCTATGAATATCACTGCGATTCAGAGTAATGAAGTGAATTTGAGTCACTAATGAGCAATGATTGCTTTGTTAGCATATGTAAGCAGCAGCCATCTTTATAAGGTAAATTTATGTTTCAGACTGAGCCTCAGAACACATGCAATGGGCAGTCTTGATATTAAAAGACACTTTTTCTCCTTTTTTTCAGAACATTGCCTCTGTCTATGACATGTTCATGGTCATTAGTGGGGATTTTCTTTCTGGTTCTATAGCTGTTAAAAGTCAGAAAAAAATATTTGGTTCTCAGAGTTTCAAAGGGGATGACACAAAAGCAATTTATCCCATCCTATTCCCACCCCATTAGTATAATTCTACAGTGAACAACTGCTCTATAAATTACCTCCTTAGGCACAGTAGCATCTGTATTCTCTGATTTTTCTAATTTATGGACAGACTGAATAATGTAGCATCTGTATATTGTCTGGATGCAGAAAAGAGAAGTATCTTTTATTTTTTATTCCTGCAGAAGCTCAAGCAACATTAAAGAATATTTTTCCATTAGCAAAAAGCAAAGGGAATAATACTTTATAGGGCCAAGCAAGGCTAAACCTGTGGTAATTACGTGCTTTAGGCACTAATTATACAATGGTCTGAATGTGGACTTAGATTCCAAATGGGATTCAGCTTGGCTTCTAGGGATCCATCATTGCAATGCCACTGCATTATTGGGGCCTGTAGCAGGGTGGCCACCTGCTCCTGCCTGGAAGGGCCTGAGATAGCCCAGGGAGAAGGTAGCTTGAAGGCTGAGCTGATTGGGGGAAGTGGCTGGAGCTGGGGCCATGCCCCAAACAGACTCAGCAGGCCCTATAAAGGCAGGGAGACAGGAGCTCAGACAGAGTCTCTTGCTGCACTCAGAGAGAGAAGGGCCTGGCTGCAGGGAGCTGAGACAGAGTACCTGGGTGGAGCAGGGCTGGGGAGCTCCAGCCTGGAAAGCCCCAGGCTGTGGCCTAGTGGAAGGCCAAGGGGTACTGGGGGTTGCAGAGGGCAACCCAGGGGTAGGCCAAGGCAGCAAGTCCAAACCCACCCTTACCAGTGATGAGTAGGCTGATACTTCAGTCTGCCCCGTGCGTGGGGTTAGATGAAGACTGGCAGTAGCCTGATACTGAGGCAAGGTGGGGATAGGTGGTGGGGGTTCCCCTGGGAGGGGGAGACCCAGTTAAAGGGGCAGTGGGATCCTGGGAGGGACACAGGGGCCAGTGGCAGTAAGGCAGATCACTGGCCTGTAGAGGGCGCTCTGGACTGGATTGAGCTAATTCCCAGGGTAACCAGCAGGAGGCGCCACAGGGGTGAGTCCGCACTGTTACAGGGCCCTAGTTTGCAAGAGAGAGCAAATAATTTCCCCAGCTGTGCTGTATCTTTTAAGCAACACACTTTTTCTCCACTGATGTGCAGCCAGAGCTAAATCTTTTCCTGAACTGAGTTGCCAACTACTCAGTGAGTTACTGTGCTTGGAAAAAATTAGACTTTGATAGATTTTTATCTCTAGAAACTGAGGCAAAGAGTACATTTTAAGAATATATTTCTTCCTGCATTTTTGAATAATGTATACAGTACCTGTCCCAGCCTGTAACTAAGATAGTCCTCTTTAGTACCATGATCTGGGAAATGTCAACTGCTCGATCTCTTCCAACATTGAGTTTATGGTGACAGTGTCCATTCAAATCCCAAATCTTCAATTAAAAAAGAAATAAGTTATCCATAACCCTCTCAGTATAGGCAAAGCAGAAAATCATCTGGTAATTTAAGGATCAATGAAGAAATAAATCTGTTGGATCGGATTTGCCTCATACCCTGATGTAACTCAGAGGTAACTGCATTGAAGATAATTCAGTCTTCATCAGAATCAGGCTCATAGGATTGAATAGTAAACTAATAATAATAATGCCTCTCCATAGCTTTTGTATAGCACTTTTCATCTATAGATATCAAGATACTGTAAAAAGGAGGCAAATATTAGCCCCCTTCTATAGATGAAGAAATGGAAAGACAAAGATGATATGACTTGTCCAAGCACAAACAGCAGGGCAGGAATAGAATCCAAGTCTAATTGTCCATTCAGTGCCTGCCTCCCCCGCTCGCTGTCTCTCTCACATGCACATAAACACACACTGTGATGACCTACATGTGACAGTTTCTTTATCCATGGAACCCCTTGAAACCATATGCAAAAGTGCATTTATTTTGCACCTTTGACTGCCTCACCTGTTCACCGCTAAGCAATCTTTGCTGGGACTCTACTAATATGCCAGCAATTTGAACATATTTCTGACAGCTTCTTCTTAAAAATAAGAATCATTTACCTGCCATAAAAGACTTTTCCCTACCCTACACTGAAGAATTTGTTTTAACAAAAAAAAAGTTATGCTGGTCCAAGATCTTGAATTGACATGTTTGTGTCTTGGACCAGTGACATTTTGAAGGTCTGACCTTTTAAATGTAGCCAGTTGCAAGACTGAGCCTTATAATCATGACAGTCTCATTTAGAGAAAAGCTATTTTGGATACATTTTAAGCCATCTAAAAATTAATTTTATTTATATTACATTAGGACCTAGAGATCCTACCTGAGATCAAGGCTCCATTGTGCTAGGTGCTGTACAAACAGAGACAAAGAGGTTACAACCTGCATAGAAGAGACAAAGGGCAAGAGAGTTTCCACATGGGAAACCAAGACACAGTCATTGAGTAACTTGCCCAAGGAATTAAATGGAGATTTCTCAAGTCCAGTATCTTAAGCACTAGACCATAAAGTCCTACTTTTCCTGTCACACTGAAATTTGCTCAGTTGGACTCCCAGTAGTTAGGAAACATCTTTACAGGTGAAGGGAGACAAATAGTTCTCATTTCTAATAGAGTCTCTGGAGTGGTGTTAAGGGCTTTCTGGCACTCATTTGAGTTGACCTCCCTAATTCACTCATGTTTTCACCAATTTATAGTCATCCTATACACAAGGCAATAAGCTCTGTTTATGCCACTCACCCAGGTATGTGCTTCAGCTTATTAATTAATTAATTTACAGTTCATGGGCTCCTGTAAATTAAAACATTTAAAAAGACACATGGTTTGGGAAAATATTGCTCAAACATCTCATTTTATGTATAAATCTGTTGGATACAGCAATAATATATGTATGTAGTGATTTGAAATAAAATGTATTTGCCCTTTAAACACAATACATTCATTTCACAAGTTGGTATACCATATTCTTACACAGATGTGTGTTTTATATTCGTAGGAGTCCATTGCAAAGGCACTGAAGTAATTTTTCATAAGAATGAGGTTTGTGAAGCTTCCTCTTCAAATTGTACTGACAGTATGTAATACTGAAATAAGACATTTCCATCCTGTAATATTACTTCTGGACAGACTTACCCTGTGCTTCCTGACACTAGCTCAAGACTCTGTCTACATCCTAATTGTGGATTTTCTTCAGTTTGTTCTTTGACTAAGGCCTGAGCTACACACAGTTTAGAGTGTGGGTGTTTTTTTTTTACTGAAATAGTTATACTGGTACAACAAGTGGGGACACAATTATACTGGTATAAAGGTAATAGCTTATTCTGCTTACCATATAGGAATAAACTATACTGGTATAAACCACCTTTATGCTGGTATAAGTCACACACACACACACACATTGGGCTGGTTATGTTGCTTTAACTATGCTAGTATACTTAACACGGTACAGCTTTTGTATTCAGACAAGCCCTTAGGATGGGTATTTTGGCATGAATTGAAGCCATCACTTTTCCCTCCCACCTCCTAGATACTGAATGTTTTGTCCTTAGGATTTGCACTGCTTGGAAAGAGCAGAGTGCTCCATGGGTAGCATTTAAGGCAGGCCACTTCCAATCAGCCAAGGCCAACAGTATAACTCAGTACAGTCCCAAATTTCAGCGCAGACTCTGGTGTTTAAAAATGTGTTTATTAATCTTGATCTTCTCACATTAGAACCCAGGCAGTCAAGGAAGTAACAAGACGAAGCAATACAGTACATTTTGTCTTGTTATCCAGAAAGGTTTTTTTGGGAGATGCTCAACTGCCAAAAATACCTTGAATGATACCCGAGATGGGCAAAAACTGGAATAATAGATGCAAATTCTGCACCACTCTCCCCAACTGCCAGTTTTTGGCAGAGTTTGGTCCAGATTCCAGAATTTGTGGCTTTGTCTTATCTCTATAATGGGACAGAAATCCAAACATTGGATTTGCAGCTGAACTTTATGACTCAGGCCCATCTCTACCACAGACACAGATTAAGCAGCAAGAAAATTGAGAGACAGCATGGCACAGAGGATAGGGCACTGGCCTGGGACTCAGGAGACCTGAATTCTATTGCTGGCTCTCCCACTGAACTTCTGTGCTATCTCTGTTATGTCATTTTTCTGTTTTCCCTCCCACACTCTTTGTCTTCTCTGTTTAGACTGTCAGCTCTCCAGAGCAGGGTCCTTTCATATTACGTGTTTGTACAGTGCCTAGCACAACAAGGCCCTAATCTCAGTTGAGACCTCTAGGAGCTACCATAATATAATAAATAGCTAAATCTGACTAGTTATGTCAAAATTAGCCAAGTCTGGGGAAATGGTCTCTCATGTTGGTGATTTTCAGCAACTTCAGCCAATAAAATAGGAAGAGCCAAAAATCTGTTTGGCAAACCTATTAAGTTTTTTAAATGGTGTGAATTTAGTGTGCATTAAAGTGAAAAACTAACAGCACTGGCTTAAAACCTGTCATAATGTTGGCCAGTGTTCTGTCAATACATCTATATCCCAATCTTAACAGCATACACCCTTGGTATTAAACACAAGAATCTCCTTAGTAGAAACTAAAGCACAAGTTATTAAATTTTATGGTGGTTTTGTGATGAGATCAAATTCTCACTGAGATGATTAAGAAGATTTAAAATTCATTTTAACTTTCAATAAACCAAAATTTGAATTGATGTGTCCAGGGGTGAAAGGCTCATGTTTTAACTAACCTAGCCACCATTTCAAAATAGTTGTTTTACAGTCATGCATTGGTTACCACAATAATATGCCCTTGTGTAATGACAAGTGAGTGCTCCAAGAAAAGCAATGGAAATGATTGTCTGGTGATTAAGGCAAGAAGGGCCATGTGCTGTATAGAGTCATAGATTGTAATGAAACTACTTGGAAGGAAGGAAGGGAGGTAACAAAGAAGGAAGTGTTCTGTAAAGCACTGTGTGTATCCAAAGTGTTAGACAAGCAATTAAATTTAACTGCGTTTTCCCAACAGTGTTAGGATTTCAACCTCTAGTTACTGAGTTCATCCCATCTCCCCTTTAACAAGGCCAATGGAAAAACCAGCCATTGTTTGGTAGCTGAGTGTTTTGGCACATTGTATCTATGTGGAAAAGACTGCAATGGAAACAAATAGTTTGAAATGTTTTCCCCTCACACCTTTACTGTTCCATCTGTGCTCCCAGTTAAGAGCCTTGTCTCAGTTGCATCCAGTGTCATAGTGCTGATCTCAGCATTGCCATGGCAACCAGTAAACTGTTTGATTTTCTGCCCAGTGTCTATCAGCCAGAAGGTAACGGTAGATCCTGCATCTGAGCTGATTACCTGGGGGGAAAAGCAGCGATTGAGATGGAATTTAAAATCTTTATATATATATATATAAAACAATAATCTCATACATATGTGCACTGCACTTATATAATTAGCAACATCTGAAATGCAAATTAGATGATTTTTGCATTGATTTTCCCCGTCTTTTCCCTTTCATCTCGTTACAAGCTTTATCATTCCCCACAATCAAAGTTTATGGGCAAGTCTGTTCCTTGTAAAACCTGTATCCACAGCTAGTTCCAATTAGCCAAAGAGCAATAATTTACTCCCTATTATCCTTCAGCACGGAAGACAGGTGACCAGCTCCCTCAAGAGACAATATCCCAAGTTACATGCGGGAACTAGAAATGTTCTCAGCAGGGATGAAACATGTCCACGGCTCTTCAGCTTGGAATCTTGCAGGCATGCTCAACCAAATGCTTTGTGCTAAGTGGTCAGATAAATCTTCCCTGCTTATTTCAGAGAACTGATCCACCGAGTAATGGATCTTTAAAACTGCATCTCTGGAAGGGGAAATAGTTTAGGGAAGCTCTCAGCATACATTAGCCTCAATTTAGAATTCAGTAGTGAGACCAGCCATTATAAATTAGGAAAAAGTCCATTTGAACAGATTATGGTTATTTCTTTTTTGGCATGCGGTGTGTTAAATTGCTAAAAAGAGATGCACTCACTCTTACTTCCATTTGCTGTATACTTATTGCTGGGTGAAATCTTCAGTCCTTACCCTAGTCCTAATTCAAGCAAGATTCCCACTGAAATCAATGGGAGTTTTGCCTGAAAAAAAAAAGCATTCTGGGATTTACTTTTTTTTGCCTTTGATGGTCATCATTAAAAAGGTTAAGGTTCATCAACAGTCACCACACTGGTATCACTGTTATATCCCTATTCTTACCATAAGAAATAACGGTGATATCTCAGTTGGCATGTGGCAACTGTTGGCAAGTGGTGAATTTTTAAATGGCACCCACTCACTATACACATGCTTTTATTTAATCCCTTCCATGTGTAAGTTAATACACAATAATTGCTGAGATTTAGTAGTTCTTCACTCTTTTCAAAATACGTTTCCTCCTAATTAAAATCAGATGCTCAAAAAGATAGTTGGCTATTTCTGCTAGGAAGGAATCCAATTCCTCCCCCAGAAAATGCTAATCAATGACTTCTCAGCAATCTTAACAAAAACAAATTTCGTTCTGCTGCAATTCACATTTCGAGAAGTTCAAAGACATGTGCCCAATATTGTACCTGCCAGCACCTGTGGAAATTTTATATAGAATAGAACATTAGGGTTGGAAGAGACCTTAGGAGGTCATCTAGTCCAATCCCCTGCTCCAAGCAGGACCAGCACAACTAAATCATCCCAACCACTTATCTTCATTCATAATACCTCTGAACACAAACACAATGAAGTACAGCTTCTGCACAGCTCATGTTCTCTGACCTTAAACCATTATGGAATTATTCCAATGACAGGTTTTTTTTTATTAGTTCCTGGCAAAATAAATAAATAATGGACTCCCTTGATTGTTTAAAAAAAAAAAAGACTATAAATCCACTGAAATAAGGTAACTTCCCTTCAAATTTTAGTAATTAAATGAGGCTCTCTCACTGAGAAGCAATATACTGCAAACTTATTGTGTTAAATTAGCTATGTTGCTCATGTCCTTAAAAGTACCACCCAAAAAGAAGACCCAAATTGAACTATAATTATAACCAAGTCTGCTTTGAATATAAGTTCTGCGATTTGCCTGTGTTATTCTAAACTCTTAATCTATTATCCAAGGAGTCCTAGATAATTTAAATAAGCAGTGTGAGACAAGACAGCATTGTCTAGCCGTTAAGACAGGAGTGGGAGTCAAGAAATGTAAATTCTGTTGCTGACTGCCTCGGCCTTACTGTATGATTTTGGGGGAGTCCCACAACTTGTGTGTGTCAGTTTTCCCCATCTGTAGGATGGAGTTAATAATACCTACTTACCTCATAAGGCGTCAGTGCACTGAGATTATTTGATGGACACCGTACACACTGAAAATATTATATTAATATTAGAGATGGCCAGAGGAAGTGAGACTCTGGATGAGTGTTAAGCAGTCATAGTTCAAGACAGAGTCAAGGCCAGGGATCAGAGGTCAAACTCTCATGAGATGTTCTTGTGAGATTTCATCCCCAAATTAGAGAAAACTAACAGGCTCACTTGCTCTCAGGAGAGTTTCATCTCATACTTGGGAGAATGACTACCGCCAATTTCTCACAGCAATGGTCAATCAGAACTTTCAAGCAGGGCCAGCCTGTTTAAGATCTCATCAAGAACCAGAATGGTATAGATGGGTTTAAATCTAGTGATTTGAATTTGATGCCCCCATTTCCTAGCTCTTCCAAAAGCACAAGGTGCTTTGGACTAAAACCTTTGGTTTTAGTTCATTTCCAATTAGTTTTATTTATTTTAAGTAATTAGCAGACTATAAATACCTAGTCAAATACTGATGCATGGGCCGGCCACTTGAACTTGCTGTTGTGACAGAGTCCCTGGAAAATCACTGCAATCCACAAAGACTATGTTAGATGCCTAAGCTCCTATACAATGAAGGGCGAGACATAGGCACCATAGTCTTCAAAGAACTAAAGCCGGCCTGCTAAGCAGAGAGCTGCCTAAGCTAGTCAATGGAAGATGCCAACCAGAGTGGTGTGTGCTAAGTGCCACCCCTCTCATGGAGACAGGCACCTAAGTCCAGGCTGCAGGGATGTGCCTAGCTGTGCTTGCGATTCACAGCTGGCAACCTTCTTTGGAGTTAGGTGCCTAAGCCATTTTAGCAAGATGTGAGGAGCAGGAGGAAGAATTCCATCATAATTTTAGCCTAGTGGTTCAGGTACTCCCCTGGGATGTAGGGGAACCCTGGCTCAAGTCCCGCTTCCACCAAAAGAGCAAAGGGATTTGAACTAGGCTCTAACACAGGGGTGGGCAAACCTACAGCCTGGGGGCCACATCCAGCCCTCCAGATGTTTTAATCTGGCCCTTGAGCTCCCACTGGGGAGCCAGGTCCGGGGCTTGCCCCACTCCGTGCTGCTCCCGGAAGCAGTTGCATGTTCTCCCTCCGACTCTTACACATAGAGGCAGCCAGAGGGCCGCCCCCGCAGCTCCCATTGGTTGGGAACTGCAGCCAATGGGAGCTGGAGGGGCGGCACCTGTGGACTGGGCAGCGCGCAAAGCTGCCTGTCCGCACCTCTGCTTAGGAGCCATAGGGGAGACATGCCACTGCTTCTGGGAACTGCTTGAGGTAAGCACCACCCAGAGCCTGCATCCCTGACCCCATCCCATGCCCCAACCCCCTGCTCCAGCCCTGATCCCCCTCCCACCTTCCGAACCCCTCGATCCCAGCCCTGAACCCCCTCTTGCATCTTGAACGCCTCATTTCTGGCCTCACCCCAGAGCCTGCACCCCCAGCCAGAGCCCTCACCCCCTCCAGCATCCCAACCGACAATTTCATGAGTATTCATGGCCCATCATACAATTTCCATACCCAGATGTGGCCTTTGCACCAAAACGTTTGCCCTCCCCTGACCTACCATCTCTCCAGGCACTACTCTAGCCACTGGGATATGATATAGTTTGATGTGGCTCTCCCTTAGTCTCTCCTGTTGAAGCTGTTGGACTCTGGTTAAATAATTAAAGAGTCATTGGAGCAGGGAGACTGGATCCTGGGTGAGAGCTCTAACCCCCAGGAGACATTCTCATGCTTGTGCTATCTCTCTCTCACTGTCCCAAATGACTCTTTACTAACACTTTTTGAAAGCATAGTAATCCAAGCCCTCCTCTGGGACTGTCACTGCATTATAGCAGCATCCAGACAGAATGTCACTGCACGACAATCTGGTGCACTGTAGATTCACACCCTGGCTTACTGCACAGTAACTTGTTGTGTAGACAAGCTTGACAACAGAAACACAAAGTTGCCCAAGATCTCTCAGCAGGTCCTTGGCAGAACTAGGAGTAGAACCTAGGTCTGCCTAAGTTCCAGACCAGTGACCCAGCCACTTAAACCACACAGCTACCCCTTTCTGGTTGGCATATACCATTTTGCATCACTCTGTCTATGCTATTGGTATTTAATTTGTAATAATTATTTTGGAATTAGATACACTTAGAAGGAAAGTAGATTACCGGCCTTAGAGGGTTGTTATGAGCATTAAGGGTGGTTCTGTGCTCCAAAACTATGATGTATCAAGTATTATTACCACTGCCAAAGTGATCGTACACATGAGCCACACTTTTATCTCTTACACATAAGCTTCCCAGAATGCCTGCATCTTAAAGGAATGCACCTCCCTTTTCTTCTGTCTCCCTTTCTCGTGGCTCACAGAAGCCTTTAAAATCAATAACTTAACTGAAAACATGTGCTGCTCATTAGCACTGCCTCCAGCACCCCAAACTGCTTCTTTCAAAAACATGCACCCTAAGGATGGGTGGTGGATTCAGATCACTGTGACTTGGTTAGCAGCTGGGCCCAGGAACTGTGATCTTCAACATGGAAATATAAAGACTCTTGAAGTCCTGTACCAAGCCCTTTGTTAGAACAGGGATTTCTCTCTTCCTCCACCTGCCTTTTCTCATGGAACCTCACCTCTCATTATTTCACACTTCCCATCTTTTCTGGCCTTGCCTATCTCTTCTTGAATCCTTCTGCCAGTTTCTATCTAGCCTTTTCTAATGCCTCCTTTCTCTCTCTCTCTGATACACTCACCCACTTCTGATTCAACGTCTGTTCCACCAAAGTGGGATGTTTTTTATTGTTTAATTTACAGCATGGGTTGTTTCTTTGACAGCATGCAGGAAAGCGGCTTTTTTTTTCTTTTTCTTTTAATCGGTCAGGATACTGCTACCGTGCTACTGCTACCATGCTTTAAACACTCATTTGTACCAGACAAATCGCCACCAAAAAACCATGATGATCTGTTGATACCCCATATCATACCACTCTGTGCTCTGAGGTTTTCCTTAGCTGAATCTCAATCTGCAGATAAAAGGGGCTGGTTGGGCAGAGCTCAGGCAAAATCTATCACAGAGACATTTCCCTGTATAGTAACTGTGGCTCTTCATTGAGATGCAGGTAATGCTCTGATACCAAAGACTGCAGTGCTTCATTAAAGTACTGTGAAGACAAACAACACTCTCACTGCATACCAAGTGCTATTACATTTAACTGAATCATTTTATTATGAATACATCCAGGTCTGCCACTTGTGTTAAAATGTTCTAGCGAAAATGAATCTTCACTAATTACATTTCATGCATATTTCAGAATTATCCTCAGGGATACTGTAAGGTGGCTATAAAGAGGAATTTTATAATCAAGTTCATTGGCAATTGGCAGTCATACCAGGACTAACCTACATCAGAGATAACCCTAGATCATCTCACAATAGTGGTTTTATTTTTATCATCTGTGTTTCTTAGAAATGTTGGATACACTGATAGCTTATATCACTTTTTAACACTGAACCTTCATTGGAAACCAAACCACTTTTCGAATACGATAGAAGGTTTAAAGAAAGCAGGTAGTTTACTAGTTAAATTAAACTATTGGGATACTAGAATACCCACAGTGCTTTGCAGTAAAGTCATACAAAGACTGTAATTAGCATGCTTTAGTATAAGATAATTTTCTTTCCAAAGTAAATGGTATCTCCCTCTCTCTCCCTCTCTAATTTAACTTTCTGAAATCAAATTAATAAAATCACCTTGTAGTAATACACATTTTCAAGTTCCTTATCAGGAAAATGCAGAAAGGTTCCTTATTTCTCCCCCCCATCCCTTTACCTGCTTAAAGACTGAATTGTAAAGAACACAAGTAACTGCTTTCCCATGACTTGTGACCTTTCTGCCGGTTTCCTGCTTCATTTCCAACAACATCAGCTGGTTATTAAATGAGATAAAAAGCCGTCCGTGAGCTTCATTAAAATAAAGGGTGGATTGGAAGTCCAGACTCTTTGGAAATGAGCCCGCTATCCTCTGGATGCACAGCTGATGCTGAATATCCCAGAGCCTTAACACCTGTGCACATAATGATGAAGAAATCACACATTATCTCCATTTTTTTTTGCTTCAGAATGCATTGCAATCATTAGTTATTGCAGTGATAGCTCTGGCTTGCTTCATGTGCCTTATTAACATCTACCACCAAATACAAGAAGCCATCTTTGTTCAGTTTATTTTACAAAGGGTTGTCAGGGAATATTTTGTTTTATTGTTATTCGTATTATAACCAAGGTCAGGGCCCTGTTGTGCCAGCCATTGTACAAACACACGAGACAACCTCTGTGCTGAGGAGTTTTCAGTTTAGCAGACAAGACAGAGAAAGGGTGGAGTGAAAACAGCGGTGAAGTGACTTGTCCAAGGTTTTACATCACTGTAACTCCATTGGTTTCCTGGTTTATACTGATGCAGTTGAGAGGCGAATCAGAGCCATTGTTATCTAAAAGCCTCTGGCAGTTACCCTTAGAAAAACAATTCGTGAGTCCAAATAGTCAGAACAAGGTTGAAACATCAACCTTCTTGTACCTATATTTTGCTAGTGTCCCCGGGGAGTTGGAAGTGTTACATATGAGCTTTGCATCCACGAAGGCAGGTCAGGAACAGTTAAAATAAAAATCTCTCTCATAGAACGGTATGAGTGTTGACACAAGAGACTAACAGCTTAGTGGCAAATGTTATGGTCTGTTGTGTATATAAATAAAAAGGTAATTTTTATGCCATTATTTACTTGGTAGATTGTAAAGGCTCATTATAAATATACAATAGCTATAGCTAATAAGAAATGGCCTATTCTAGAGGAGAATAAAAGGGAGCTATTTTTTAGTTTTCTTGAAAGCATAAAGCAGCAATATATCAGCAAGTGGATGTGGAGAAGTAGCTGCTATGCAAGCTTCTTCAAACAGCAATGCCAATGCACTTGCCTTGGTGTGCCTCACTAACCTGGCTCTTTTTTTTGCACTGGGTTTCTCACCAGAAGCAAAGACTAACAAATGTGCTAAGTTATAGCCCCTCTTCAGAGCTATGGTCATTAGAAGTACTCATTGAGCCTATAGGTCTCCTCTATTTCAAAAACCCAAGCATTGGGTGACGCAGTTATTTAAATGTGGTCACAGCAGTGTGGCAAATCCCAGAACATTACCAGAGAGTGGGCTGGGTAGGCAAAAGCATCAAGTGGATAATAAAGAGACAAGCAAGAAACAAGTCCACTGGGGAGAGAATGAGTAGCCGTGGAGCGATAGGGCCTGGAGGGCTGCCATCTTGACCCAGTCTGGTAAATCCTAGTTGGAATCCTGAGTATTCCCATACTGAATCTGTTCTATGGATATGGAGCTTCTGTCTCCAGGTCTGTGAACACATCTCAGTTCACAGCAATACATTGATTCAAGTGTTAAAACGTGACTTTTGCGCTGGTTTAAAACAAGCCCACTATCTCCATGAATTATCCATTACAAAACATGGTGCAATCAGTGACTCAGAATTTCTGTCAAAATTCTGCCTTTTAAAATGGTGAATGTTATCTCTTTGCATCCCTCTCATCCCACATAATATTGGATGGCAGAAGTTTGTTGTGGTTTCTGCTGGCAGTAAATCAGAGTGCGCTCTTGGTAGCAGAGGGGGCTCGTTGTTTATTATATAGACATAGAGACTCAGATTACCATGCATTCATCAGAGTGAAATAGATTCATACTAATGCCAAGAACAACATGCACTGGTGTGTGTATAGCATAATGGTTTAGCAATTAAAAAGAAAACACAATTTTAACAGTGCAATTGAAAGAGATACCGTGGTGTTTAATATTGGTGCTGGCCTCACTTGTTCTGCTCAGGTTTTGATCCTTTCTTGCCTTTATAATGACAAACCTGGATCACAATCTCAAATTAGCATTAGAGAAATGTGGAGTTTGAAAAAAAACTAAAGCCTGTCTACATTTAAAACACTACAGTGACACAGCTGCAGCTCTGCTGCTGTAGCGCTTTAGCGTAGACACTATTTACACAGATGGGCTAGGCCAGTGTTTCCCAAACTTGGGACGCCGCTTGTTTAGGGAAAGCCCCTGGTGGGCCGGGCCAGTTTGTTTACCTGCTGTGGTTCATTGCTCCAGGCCAATGGGAGCTGCTGGAAGTGGCGGCCAGTACGTCCCTCGGCCCACGCCACTTCCAGCAGCCCCCATTGGCCTGGAGCGGCGAACCGCGGCCAGTGGGAGCCGCGATCGGCCGGACCTGTGGACGCAGCAGGTAAACAAACCAGCCCGGCCCACCAGGAGCTTTCCCTACACAAGCAGCGTCCCAAGTTTGAGAAACACTGGGCTAGGCAATCCACATTCCTGAGAGCATAGACGCTACCTCCCATTAGCATAAGTAATCCACCTCCCTCAGAGGTGGGAGCTAGGTTGACATAAGAACTCATCCTTTGACCTAGCACTGTCTATATGGGGGCTTAGATCAGCTTAACTACTCACTCAGGAGTATGAGTTTTTTGCACCCCTAAATGACATAGCTGGTTCGACCTAATTTTCTAGTGGAGACCAGCACTAGGACACACTATGGATCATATTTTCAAGAAAGTTTAGCGTCCACTACTGGAGTCATATTTTCAGAAGAGCTCAGCTCTCAATTAGGCACCAAAATAAATGGCCAGATTCTCATATGTTGGGTTTTTCGAAAATGTAATCATGTCACAATGGGAGCGGCTGGCGCATTTTGCGGATCCAATTCTGTTTGCCAATGCAGGGACTGCCGGATCGGGCCCTGTAGGCAGTTTCTATATTTACCTTGTCCTTTGAGAAGCTGAAAAGCTGTTTTCGTTCAGTAATGAACTGAACAGCTATTACACTGGCTGAATGGCCTTGAAGAACTCCAGCAGGTTTCGAGGTGACGTAGGGGTTCCAGAGGCAAACTCGGTGATTGATGCCAGCAGTAGCTGTTCACAATCACAAAGCAAAATAGATTAAAACCAAAAGTACTCTTGAAAGGGGATTTTATTTTAATTAATAATAAAGAAACTGCCATCTCTCTGAAACACACAACGATAATTGCTTTGATAAATGAGAATGTGTTTGTTTATGTTACAAGTGAATATGTGAGAGTGGTAGTGACTGCAATAATTAATAATGCAGAACAGTTTCCATTGTAATCGCACCTGCAGTTACTCAGAACTTCCCTAAACTTTTTGAGCAGAAATTTCTCTATGCCCTTCCCCCCAGCTGATTTGTCTTCCACTTCATAAGCTGGAAATATAAATCATCATCACATAAATATAAAACACTAGGACTCAGTCATTCACTTTTGCAGGCAGAATGCATACGAAGGAAGAAAATGCCTATATATGTACACATAGAGAATACAGTTTTCTTGGCCCCTTAGGCTTTACTATAGCACATAAATTAGTCAGTTTTTTAAAACGTACCAATTAAGTTGAGTCGAGAGTGGAAGTCAAAAGCATTAATTCCCCGGGCAATGTCGAAGGATGTAGTTTTAAGACGAGGCTTTAATTTTTCTCTCCAAGCCAGCACCAATGTGTTAACATTACTGGTTGTACTGGAAATAAAGGCATCAAAGGAAGAGCTGTATGCAACTAATTGGTGAGAAAAGAAAAAGAAAATCTTTGAATTGATTTCTTTTAATATAATCCAATCAGCGCTGGTTTCATAAAGAACAAGGTATATTAAAACTAAGCCTAATTAAAAGAACTATTAATGTCTGGGAGAAAACTAACCTTGACTTCAAAGGGGTTTGGATCAGGCCTGCAGGACTCAATCCTGCAAGGAGTGGAGCATTCTGGACCCGATCCAGGACTGCTCACACACTTAAGTGCTTTGCTGGATTGTGGCCAGAGTTCTCAGCACATTTCAGGGATGAGTCCCTAGATGACAAGGACATACAATATACGGTGTGGGTCTAATAAGGTGCTCAATGGCTTCAGCTCTCATGAAGTTCAGTGGTATTAGAGGGCGTTCAATACTTTGTAATTGGACAAGAAAGAAATCTAACAGAAACGTGGTAAAAATACATCACACTGCTTTGCTGATACAATGAAGTCTCATTTACATTTTTGGTACAGAGACTTAATGAACCATACAGAACACTATCTACTGGTAACAGCTAACTCTCCTTGCAGTAATCCCTTCTGAACTACAGAGCTTTGCCACTGGTTTCTAATCCCTGAGGAGCTTGGATATAAAACTGGTAACACAATATGGACCAAGTTACTAGGCTAGTTATTCTTAATTCAGTAAAGCAATACTGAAATCGAAAGTCTGCATTATACAATAATTAGTCCTATACAAATACATGGTAATGCTACAGTATAATTACTGTGTGATCAAAAAGTGCAAATACTGTATCTGGGAAATTACTTTGTTATATTTCCACTTAAAATTCAAATGCTGTTACAATTCTTGCTCTGCAGTCCATCAGGAAAGACAAATTGGAAATCTTAAACTCAGAGTGTTGCTCTAAGACTTGAATCTGGAGGTTATAAGTGACTTTTGTGGGAACAAGATGTATGTTTCAGGAGCTCAGTGATTTGCACAGTTTGTTACAAAGATATAAACTCGTTTCTGACTAAACTGTATTGTGAGTCAAGTTCCTTGAAGAATGTCTGACTAAAAGGTGAGGTTAAAGGAATTTCCATAACATCAAAGTATGTGGCAAATTAAAATGCTCATACGCATGGAGAAGGAGAAAAGGGGGCAGATTGAGATAGAAAGGGCTTCTTAATGACAAACAGAAGTTAGGGAAACAACCAAAATATGACCATGAAAGTATCTGAATCTGCATTGAAAAAAAGAAATTTTATTTCCAAATGTTTTGCAATGAGTAGTTTTGTCCTTGGAAAGTGCTCTATAAAATATTCTCTATGTCCAGATCCTCAGCTGCTGTAAATTAGCATAGCTCTATTGGTTTCATTTGCAGTCACACTATTTTACACCAGGTAAGGATCTGACCCAAAGTGTTCTTCCAGTAAGCATGATGAACAATTTTATTCCATTCACAAACATGGAAAATCCTAACATTACCCTCTGATATCAGAAAAATTAGTGACCTATTAGAAGACCTAATTAGATCAGCAAGTCCTTGCAAATGCAGAATACAGCCCCACAATAGAGGCAGTATCACAAATTAAAACTGATGGAAAGTGGACCCACAGCTACCTCTACTTTCCATTCTCATTGATGCACCTTTGACTAAGAAATCCCTTTTGTTGTAGTAAGTGTTCATCTTTGCAAATGGTGTCACATGGCTCTCCATGGTTCAATAGCTTTTGTAGAACAGCCACCAAGGTGCACGATCCCATGGGACCAGCAGGTTTAAGAGGAGTCAAAGATCCTGTGGAATTGTCACTTAAGACCTTGTTGAGCTCAGATCATATGCACATCCTATGTGGGTCTGAGCCCCTCTGTTTCGTCCTTTCAGCAATGGCAACAAGCCACACTGTGATTGACTGTCCTGCTCCCCAAGGCAACTACAGTTCATGTGTGTTCTACAAAAGCCAGGAAGAGGGAGTTAGTGCTTGTTCAGATGGATTTTTTTAGGGTAAGAATCACTGTTCTGAAAAGGGAATGTGCCATGCTGAGCAAGCATTTCCCAACTCCTATCCCAGGCCACACACTGTGGCCACACAATGCTATGCTCCAGGTTACGGCCGCAAAGAGTCTTTGTGGCAAGATGGAGTCTTCCTTGGAGCAGCTTTCCCCTTTGTCCAGCTCCCATGACTCAGTTTATGCTTATTCCTGCCATTTTGCTCCCCCGTTTGGGAAGCAGGGAAAGGCACACCCACCCCTTCCCTGGATCTATCACTACCACCTCTCTCACTAAAATATCTCCTAACATTTTTGCAGTTCAGCCATGTCCCTTCTCACATTGTATTTACCACCAGATTTTGAATCCTCTGAGTAAATTTTCTTTATATTTTGTTCAACAGGAACCTCAATAAGCCCCACATATATCTTCCCATCAAGAAAGCATGTAACATCTTTCACCTTTCCTCCCTCACACACGTTTTTGAGACCAAAGAGGAGATTTTTCAGGGCACAAATGGCAGTTGGGCACCTACATCACACTGAAAGTCCTTGGGAATTAGGTGCCTAATTGTTACTTGTGCTTCTGAAAGTCTACCTCCTTGTGTCCAATTTGCTGTCAAAAGTTCCATGGACTTCAATGAGGGTTTGCCCTAGACGTTGTTTTCCTCTGTCTATAACACCTCCTGTTCCGTAGTAACACTGTTTGAATTACCACAAAATTACTCCCAGTTATTTTGGGAAAGTTTAATTTTGCTGCACTATTTGCATCCTTCTCAGTGAACTATAACCCTTTTCTATGAATGACAGTAGACAAGAAAACTTATCACTTTTCTTTCAAGTCTTCACGTAAGTTGATCAAATCCCATCTTCAAAAAAAAAAGAACTATATATATTTGCCTTTTATCTGGAGTTCCCACACATTGAATAAACCATTTCCCTGTACTGTGAGTTTACCAATCTATTCTCTCCCCAAATCTGTAACCTTAGCCTTAGTAGACAAATAAAGGACAGAGAGTACAGGACATTAAAATGACATTGACTATCTATAAAGTGTTTTATCAAGGTCTCAGGTACTCTCTGCCTTTACAAGCTATGCTGTTTCTTCTGTTCCTTTCCCCTCAACTTTAACACATTCATGTTCTCAAGGATCCAACATAATTTGGAAATGTTGAGCTTGTATTTATTCCCTCTATTTATACTTCTCTCTTTTTTCCCCCCTTAACTTCTTTTGTCCTTGTGGTAACTCAGGCATGTCTGGAATCTATCCATATTGCACTGCTTTGAGGCTTCTTCTATTCTATCATCTCCCCTTCTATATATGAACCACTTGTTAGCAACAATGGCCTCCTCACTTATTTAAAGCCCCTTGAATATGTAATTCCCTCCTCCACCTCCCTCCCCTTGATTAGTATTTCAAGATAATTTAATACCACATCTGAAATATTCTCCATTCAAAATGCAAAATTATACATCTTCAATCCAAGAAGAGAGAAAAATCCTTTCTGTAAAGATGGATTTACTTCTATTACAGTGTTCCATGAGTAGTTCTGTGAGAAGAGTTTAGGTGATTTCTACTTTTTCTTTAAAAAAAAAAAATTCTGACACTTGGAGAGAATTATATGGACAATTCAGAATCCAGGGGAAGTACCTGTAGATTGGGAGCAGTTAAGAAGTGGGTAAACTTTGAACTGAAATTATTTAGCCGGGGATTGTATGGTAACCAACAAATAGAGTGAAATTCACCCCTAAGCAAGGCCCAGGGCAAGGCCTAGACACCACTTAAATCCTCAAAATAGGGATTAAGTAGTGCATTGACCTTGAGCTAGCCCTCTGCATAAGAGTGAATTTCACCCATCAGCCTTAGTAAGGGCTTGATCCAAAGACCACTAAGTCAACGGGAGCCTTTCCATTGACTTCAATAGGCCTAAGAAGCAAGACTAAAACCAGCTAATTATGTGATTTTGAAGGCCAAAATACTGAAGGAGTCTCAGTAAAATGAAAGCAGTTCCAGGAAGGGCTACAAAAAGAATTCCAAGATGCAAATTTAAAGAGAGGCTGAACTCATCAGATATGAGAAGCTTTGAAGAGGTGTTGCAAATTAGTCTTTCTGATGGTGGTTTGTATGTCCTTCAGAGGTTGTAACAAAGAGAAAGGGGAGACATTATTTGGAGTTTGTCAGTGAGGACAAGACCAAGCATACTGGCCTGAAAACAGAAAAAGGAAAATACAAGTTTATTACAAAGAGACCTAAGAAGTGGTCAGCCAGGTGATGGAACAGTAACCAGTAATGTTATTTATTGCATTGATACCATACAGCTGATCCAGAAGAATCGTGAAATGCTTTTGCAGGCTATTCACCTTAAAATGGGAGATATTGGAGCTCAGGATTTAGTTCTGCGTGTACGTTGGGTTCAACGCAGCACTACATAATGGTTCAGCCGAGAAAATGAAGAAGAGATGAGAAAGAAGAACCCAAGAATTACCTGGAGGTGTCATTCTGATGCCATCACAGGTCATACTGAAGCGTAATATGGATTTCACACTCAGTAGGACAGGGTAGAGGAGCTCCTTACTTGTGCTGGGAGTTGCACTAGATGACCCAGGCTGGTAATAAGAAGCCTGAGCTGGTTTGAGAGACTCTTTTGGAAGGTACTTTTTGGCACTACCAGCTGCAGAGTCTCCCCATGTATGGCGCAGCTGAGCACATCAGGAAATCCATGCCATACATCCATTTGGATAAATAGGTTGCCTTAACGGAGCGCCAGGATCTGTGCCCTAGCATGATGCATTTCTGTGTGTGGATAGAGCGAAAAGTCCTTCTGGACACCACTCGGTGTTCTAAGTCTCAAACTGCAGAACTGCTTACTTTTCCAACGTAAGAAAATGAGATATTACAGCTCAGAATGCAATAAACTCACTTAAATGGGATCCATTTAGACCTAGATCAGAATGTTGTATTACTTTACTGCCTTTGTCCTAAATGCTGAATGTGTGCAGCACTCTAGATGGGTATTCATTATAATACCCCACTGATTTATCTTTCACGCTTCCTGCATCCCACGTCAATAAAAGCAGACCTAAATGCCTGATTTGCAGTTACTTAGATCGGTGTACAAGAACATTTCACATTTCTCTCAGAATTTATGTAGTTAAAAACAAAAAGCACTTGCTATCCCTGTGGGCCCAATTGTGGCAGTTAGGCACAGGCCTGAGTAGGAAGCAGGACAGAGCCACACCTGCCCAGGAGATGCTCAGGAAGGCATTGCACCTGGGGGAGGCCCAGTTCCTAACTGTCTGCCCTACAGAGGGGGAGATTGCACATTGCACAGCGTGCTCCCCCCCGCACCTCTGCCCACTCCCCCCCCACACCTCAGCCCACTCCATATGGCTAGTTGTAGGAGTGGTGGGGCAATAGGCTCTGCCTGATCCCTGCTCCATTAGAGTGATGTCCAACCCTGGAGTAAGCAGTGTACCTGCTCAGTGCAGAGACTGCAACTGTTCCCCACCCTTATATTCAGGGGAAGCAAAGGGAAGGCTCTACAAGAGAGCATGTGTTCCTATCAGCACTGAGCTGTAGTAAAACACAGAGAACATAGCATGCCCCTACTATTCCCAGCAGCTAACAGGGTCATCTGGGGTAAACCGTGTTTTGGGCTACTAGATTTTTAAAGACACACTTTGAAATGCTTGCATGTTACCATGAAATGACTGAGCTGATTTGAAGTTATGAAAACGCTGGCTTTTCTTAGGGTAGGTACCAGAGCCAGACACCATGACCGTGCTTTACTACTCACAGCCAGATTCTGATTGATCCATGGGAAAGTCCCTGAGAGAAAAGTGCAAAGGAGCTGCCCACTCCCTCCATCCTTTCAGCTCCTGCACAGGCACACAGACAGCTGCAGCTCCCATGCACCTCCCTGGGTTTGCACAGTCGGTCCATATAGCTGCTCAGGAATGAACACCAGTGTCCAGAGGCCTGGTGTCAGGGCCGGCTCCAGGCACCAGCTTAACAAGTAGGTGCTTGGGGCGGCCAAGGGAGACGGGCGGCACCTGCGGCAATTCGGGGGTGGCAGAAATGCTGGAGCCGGCCCTGCCTGGTGTGCATGAATACAAACAAACATTGAGCTGTTTGATCTACAGAAAGTGGCAGGGAATCCTTGTAACCAAAATCTCACAAGGAGAAGGAGAAGTGAGCAGATATATTTGCAAGGATCTTTGGCCTGATTTTTATTATTTCTAGAAGTTGAAACCCCAGCTAATTTGCCCTGGTTCCACACACCAAAAATAAATTACTGAGTCAGATGCCCTTTCACCCCATGGTCTGATCCCCTAGAGAAAACATAGCCAGCGATTCCTTGGGAGTATCTAGGTGAAGATTCCAGCCACCCACCTGGAGGCCTCTGTTGGAGTCCATGCCCCTGACAACTCCAGTGATTCTTCAGATTACCAGGTGCTTGGTCTCTTCTTGTGGGATTGGTGTCAAACCTGAGAAGGGGCCTGTTAAGCAAACTGGCTGGGACATAGCGTTCTATTATACAAGCTACTTCTTCCATAGAACCAGAGATATTCCGGTGAACCCAGATTTGCGCATTCATTGTCAGAATGTCTATCTTGTTGTTCCAGTGCAGTGGAGTCCAATAGGTCTCCAACTGAGTGAGGCTTGAACTGGAACTACTAAGAGGCCCAATCCATCCTTCAGGCTCCCAGCTGTGGTAGGGACTCAGGAGCAGGGCCGGCTCCAGGGTTTTGGCCGCCCCAAGCAGCCAAACAAACAAACTAAAAAAAAGCCGCGATCGCGATCTGTGGCGGCAATTCAGCGGGAGGTCCTTCGCTCCGAGCAGGAGTGAGGGACCGTCCACCGAATTTCCGCCGAACAGCTGGACGTGCCACCCCTCTCTGAAGTGGCCGCCCCAAGCACCTGCTTGGTAAGCTGGTGCCTGGAGCCAGCCCTGCTCAGGAGGAACAGGTCTGACCAGAATTGTACCAGTGAGTCGCAGAGGATACCCCGATTCAGCCCAATATTGTCACCTACAGACCCTACTGGTCAGGAATCTTCCAGAGCCCTATTGGGGCAGGGTGATGAACCTCTAAAGCAGCAGCTCCTAGAGCCACTAATGCTGTTGCACTATTTGCTGCAATTGTACTAGTTATTTGATGATACCGCTCTCTTGTCCAGAGGGTGTCCAATATCCTACCCCTAGCACCAAGCTGTAATAGGACTAAGGCAGAATTTTAAAAGAAGAAATTCACAGGTTTGAGCACACATCATGTTCTCTGAGTTGGGGTGTTCTAGTTTAGCCCCAACTGACAACAAACATGATATACTAGCTCCATTAAAGTCAATGGGAGCATTGACACAGACTTCAGTGGGACCAGGATCACACTGCACCCCAAGTTGACAAAAGTCTTTAACCAAAAGGTAGTTTTCCACATAAACTCAAAATTTGCAAAATGCATAAACCATACAAGGCAGCTCCTATGTTTCCCACAGAACTCCCTATCCTGGCTTTTGGTTCCCTGTATGTCATTATCTCCTGTCTTTTAAGGTGCTTAGCCAAAATGGCCTCAGCTGTACCTAATTAGCTGGTAATATCTCCCTGAGCTGTCTCTGAACCTGCCTAGAAATTAACCCCCAGTGCCCCAGGCTGTTTACTGTTTTGCAGGGCCTGGCCAGAGACACTACTGGGGCCGGGCTTCAGGATCCTTTCCAAGGGGCACCAAAAGGCCTGTGTACACCATCACAAATCTCTTGACCTGAAAAGAATAGTTATTATGAAGAGAACCAGGCTGCAGTCACACAGATACTGACAACCACAACTGCTTCCCTCTGATCAGCATGAGAGTTCAGGTGCAAAGATTAACTGTGTACAGCAGAAAGCCTTCAAAGGAAAAATAATTCTCCCAGCATTAGTGATACTCATTACTATAGATACAGTACCAGTTTCCCTAGACATGCAATTAGCAATAGCTTCTAAACGCACGTGGACCATCAGCTTTTAGTAATGAATATAATTACGGCATACAGCATGGGATTTTTTTAAGCTTTCAGATTCAGTACCTTGCTTGATCCAGTCTTTATAATGAAGTTTGTGCTTTAACGTATAACAGCATTTGTGATACCCAGAAACCAGCTCCTGCCAACTAATGGTCACTGTTGCTTCTTCACCTTCAGGGGAGCTAGCAGGTCGTTCAAACAAAGAGATCAGAGCAGTGGTAAAGGAAATGGCTTGAACCTGAGAAAGAAAGAACTTTTATTTAACAAAAAAAAAAGCGGGAGTGTGGGGGGGTGTCCTACAGACTCCATACCAAACAAAGGCAGGAAGAGATTAAGAACGTTCTCTGCCTGCAGCAGGGCCAGCTCTAATTTTTTTGCCGCCCCAAGCAAAAAAAAAAAAAGAGCGCCGCCCCCCCCGAAACACCCCTCCTGAGCGCCGCGCTGCCGAAACACCCCCCCAGCGTCGCGCTGCCAAAACACACAGCCCCAGCACTGCGCTGCCCCGCCAAAACACCCCCCCAGCACTATGCCGCTGAAACAGCCCCCCCCCCCAAGCACCACGCCACCGAAACACCCCTACCCCCAAGCGCCGCCCGGCCGAAACAAAAACAACAAAAAAAACCCTCGAGCACCACCCCAACGAACCAAAAAAAACCCCTGAGCGCCCCCGCCACCCTAAGATTGGCCGCCCCTAGCACGTGCTTGGTCGGCTGGTGCCTGGAGCTGGCCCTGGCCTGCAGACAGCAAATACTGCCCCAGGCCAGCTTATCTGGGAGAAATGTCAATTATGGAGAAACACGCCCCCACTGGCTGTAGTTAATAAGGGCAAACCCAAGTATAAAGGCCAGGCAAGGGATAGGGCGGGTGGTAGATGAACTTGGGACTTCACAGGATAACAACTTTCTGCCAGAACAGTAGCATTAGCCTGCCTCTGAAAGACTGAAAAACCTTTCGAAGTACAAGGGAGAAAGATAGAAGTAGAAGCCCTAAGGATAAAGTGCTTTTTGACTTGTTTATATTATGTTTATGGACTGTGCCTTTTTTCCCCCCAGTTGATTTGATTTAAGCCACTGTTGACTAAGTCAAGGACTAACTAAGGCTGCTCAAACTGGGGTTTTGTACAAGGTGGTGTCCATCACTGCTGACAGCAAGGTAGCTAAATGGAATACAGCACAAACTCTCTACCTTATTACAAATTCATAACTTGCAGATATTTGAGTTTCAGTATTATTGCTATGGCTATCTTCTTTAACGAGGCTGCAGGGATTTGCTTATGAGCAGAGATTAAAAGAGCTAAATGTGTATAGTTTGGCTATGTGACAAATAAGGGGGTGACAAATCTAAAAGTAATTGACAGGAGTAAGCACATAGTCTGGAAACAGACTGTTTAGTGCAGTACAAGGTGTATGACTGAGTAATGGGATGCAGCTGAGACAATTTATTTTGAATAGTAGGAGAAGCTCCTTAATAGTGAAGCTGTGGCTTCAATCTTTCAAGCTAGGAGGTAGGAATCACATTGCTGGACAAAATAGTAGAAAAGGCACTGTAGGGAATAATTCTACACTGGCAGGAGGTGGCCTAAATGCCCTGAGAGGTCCTTTCTATCTGTGACCACTAAGATTTTATAACATAGCAATAATCTGTATTCTGCCTTTTCATATGTAATACTATGCATAGTATCAGTGTGTGCTACTTGGTATTTTTAATATTGTCATTCACTTTAGTGTTTTATTCAAGAATGGGCTGACTTTCTGACTTTATCAGTCACTACATTGTTAGATTGCTGTTACTACTCAAACAAATCCAGGGTGAAAATTCCATAACTATCTGACAAAGTATATTGATGATACAATTATATGATTCAGCCACTAATGAATGTTATCTGCTGAGAAATAGGGAACTCTCCGTGCCAACCTTTTAGTCTTGTTTATACCATACTTGCCTGTCCAGAGACATCCCCCAATGTTAGAATAGCTTCATTTCCATCATGAGGGTTATACCAATAGTCCATACATATCACTGTTCCCCGGAGACCATGCAGCCTGTACTGACAAGACAACCCTTGCTTGGAATTCAGATCATAAAAGCAGATCTCTTTACTCGTAAAAGCAATAGCTATCTGGAGAAAGGAGATGGGGGGAGGGGAGAACAACATTGCTAGATTAAGCATGTAAAATATCCTTTAACATAGAACAGATTATATATAATCTTTAATAGCAAGACAAATTTGCAACAAAAAATCTCCAACTATTTTCTGGAATAATACAGCCTACATTTAAAACTCCTTTAGGTTCCCTTTCTGTATTCTAGCAATTACATTGGCTGGCAGGAATGTTCATTCCAAAAATGAACTTTAAATTCAAAATGGCAAGTATTAAGATTATGCAAATCTGATGCTAAAAGTTACTCATCCAGCCAGGGCAGGCAGCAAAAATGTACTAGGGAAGATTCAAAAGGCTGGAAACTTCCTCTCAGTAAAACTGTGTGTTCAGACTATTCCCAGCCAGCATAAGGTCCCTATATCCCTGCGCTAACTTGTGCTTGGACCCAGGCAGAGAATCAGGGAGCCATAACCGGCTCCCTGAGAGAGTTCCACATTATGCTGTACCCCTGAGAGCCGAATGTGGCGGGGATCTGCCCCCGCCCAGTGACCTGTGTGCCCAATCAAAACAGCTTCAATTTTTTTAATATCAAATACTTGCAACAAACTGAGCAAATGACTATGAACCAAGGTGTATTTGCAAATATGATCTAATGTATCATTTTGACTAAAGATTAAAAGTGAGAAAGTTGCAATATGATCTGACCATTTAGGAACTGAACAAAAGGTTACAATTTCCCTGAAGCGTGTAAATTGTTCATCCAGCCCTAGTCAAGATACGGTAACTAGTTAAAACACATCTGAATGTAACGCATGCAAATCCAGTGACTGACTTTCAAACTTTTACAGATCCTACCTGTATCTGAGCATTGGAGCTGCTATCCCCTTAACACATGACTTCATAAATGTTGCTTAGCTTTATTAGGGGATATCATTCTGAGACAAAGTAACCATATGGGGCTTCATTTAATATAAACTATGTGGCTAGTCCATTGTTAGTGTTATGGGATATAGGGCTTGTTTACACGTACAGCGCTGCACCAGTTCAGCTGCACCACCATAGCGCTTAGCCAAGATGCTATCTATGCCGACGGGAGAACTTCTCCTATTAGCATAGGTACTCCACCTCCCGAGAGGCAGTTGCTGTGTTGAGGGGAGAAGCCCTCCCATCGACAAAGCTCTGTCTACACCAGGAGTTTGGTCAGTGTCACTGCTCAGGAGTGTGGATTTTCCATACCCCTGAATGATGTAGTTACACCAACGTAAGTCTGTAGTGTAGACCAGGACTCAGTTATGGTGTCTCAGTTTTGGAGATAGCATGGGTTGAAAGCAATAAGGAAGCACGTTCAACTCTCAGCAAGCTGTAGACATGAGGAGAGAATACTAGTGTTTTTGAACAGTGCCCCTTCTGGTTGATGTAGGGCCCTATAGAGGGAGCCTTTCAAACTCTCCTTGACCTAAAGGATGGCAGTTTTGGGATGGGCCATAAGAGTGAATGGGACTGGAATAAGATTTAAAAGAGGGGATGTCTGACTCTCTGAAGGTCACAGAAGATATCCCAGGCCCTAATGACAAGAGTGGAACTTCCTTATTTAACTGTGTAAGCTGGGTGGCAAGGGAGTTACCCAGAGTTACTGCCAAGATACTGGAAGGGGTGGGTATTTTACTCCTTATCTACATATCTTTTTTGTTGCTATGTTTTCCCAAGCTTATGACGGTTGCCTTTCCCTTAATAAAGATTTCCTTGTTTCTGCACAGTCCAAGTGTTTGAGTGTGTGGAAGTTCTGCCTGTTAAGGGAACCCAGGGAGGTGAATTTAGTTTCCACAGGTTTCTGGGTGCTGGCTTGAGCAGGTTTACTTATTTGCCAAGAGGGATTCTACAGACTTTGAACCCAGCACTTTTGGCTGACATTCATCACCTGGCAAAAGTGCAATACTCATCATCATTCCTCATGATGTACCAGCCTGGTGAATAACCAGAGAACTTCAGTGGTTATCAATCTGATATTTTACAAGTTCTAACAGACTTTTTAAAAAAGGGGGTTTATACCTTGTTTACATTTGCTAGCGAGACCAGCGTTGTTACCCACAGATCTTTCAGTTTGACAGCTTCTGTAGTAATCTGCAGAGTTCTCTGTAGCTTTAAGTTTTCTCCCCAGACTCCCAGCAATCCATTTCTACTTACAGTCAGGTAACAGTTGGAGCCTTTCAAAAAAGTTACATTTTGAATAATATCTTTGTGGATGGGCGAAAGAAGTCGGAGATTCTTCCACTGGGGGATGACTGATGATCTCGTTCGTTCATCCTTCTCATTAAGGTCTAAGAGCATGAAAGAGGTCACTTTGTCCCAGTCAATGATACCATCTCGGGTCACATCTATCTTATCAAACATCTCACCAAATTCTTCTTTAGTACTTGGTCTGATCACTGCACAAATCTGCTCTGTGAACTCTTCTCTAGTCATGACCACTCTTCCATTTAAACCTGGAGACTTCAAAAAGGACAGAGTGAGAGAACAGTAGTTGCACTGGTGTGCCCCTGCTAGTAAACATAAACATGGATTTGCCACACAGCAAGTAGTAATCTTACTCGTGGTATCTAAAGGCGCAGTCAGTCTGTAATAATGAACTATTTTACAAAACCTGATCAAAGGAGTCTATCCCTTCACAAGAGGGCCATGTAGATATTTTAACAATGAAATATCTGTATAACACACCAGATTGACAGCCCTGGAGTCAAAGTTCTCTAGATAGCCAGGCTAAAATTTTCCTTTGTGCAGAGGACCAAACAAGGCCCCATGCACCACTTAACCCTTGTGGCTCTCTGCAAAGGGGTGAATATTACCCATCGCCCTCCCCCTCTCCCCCCCCTGCCCAAAATAAAAAATTCTGCTGAGACTGCTAACAAAGTTGCAATGGTGCATTTTAAACTGTGGACACCTGTGACCAAAAACTCTTCTCATATGGACTATTGAATAGCTGTCAGATGGTAGTGATTTTTAGTCACTGGGCTGGGTTTGACCTGGTGAACTTGGCTGGAAAGCTCTGCATCTTATTACTAATTTCCTGAGCCATTCAGACAACTCTGCATATTTTTTCTGATTTCATTAATTTTCTCATGCCATCAAATTAAGTGTACTTACTTTTTTTAAAAAAAAACGGCTATGAACGCAATGCCTCATGCAAGCTCACTATTGCAATTAGTTACTGAAAAATCTAGCAGAGGCTGACACGACAGTTTTTATATTAAGTAAAAAAATGAAAAAAAAGTAAATTCACGATAACTTTGTGGAAAATCAGGTTTAATTATTTCTCCTATTTGCATCCCATTAACATTGCTTTGTTATCTATCTTGTTTTTCCATGTCTCACAGTAATGACACACTATACTAGAATGCAAATTATCTTGTATTTACACAGGTACTTTTATTTCACTTTTGTGTAGGAGAACAGAGATCTCCACTTTTGTGGACTGATTTTCAAAAGTGCTGCGCGGTGCCCACAGTGAGGTCAGTGGGAGTTGCAGATGACCAGCACCTAAAACTCGGGCCAACTGCCAAATTGCAAAATGAAAGAGTTGGAGTCTGCAGTCATGTATCCCCAGAAGGTGTGAGTTACAGGGAATGAGATACCAACCTTTATCCTGCAAATGCCCTGCCAACTTCCCTAAAACCTGACCTTGGGGACAAGCTCTCAGGATAAGCAAATATGTCTGTCTCCATACCCATCCACTTGACTAGAGCTTTTGCTGACACTGACCACGAAGATGTAGGTTTGCAATGGTGATGTGGTGAACAGTTGTGCATCATCAACAGGGCTGAGCCCACCCCCTCCCCTCCCCTCCCCGCCATGCGGGCACACACCTTGAGAATCTCATTGGGATACCTAACATCCCTCAGATGGTTACACTTTCAACCTGGGGAGAATTGATAGTAGCAGTTTAGAAATCAAAAGTTCTATACCCATTCCCAACCTTGCATTTCCCAGCATCATATATTTACATCTTAATGTAATATTAATACAGGAGCTAATTTAACATTTTCCCACTGTGATGTGTTTAGCATCAAGACATTGCCATGTAAATGAGACAGCCATCTCCAGGGATATGTTTTGCATTTACCCAATTTGGTCTCAATTCACTGAGATGTTAAAATGTGACATGAGAAAGAGTTTGCTCCTTTTTTAGCATGGGACTCTCAGAGTATCAGCCATCCCCGCAGAAAATCACATAGCTTAGAAATTTAAAGGTGCAGTACAGAGAGAGAGAGCTACACACACTTTATTTAAAGAGTATTGAATATAAAGATTTTTTGAAAAAAAGATTCACTGGAGTCTTTTATTTCAAGATTTTCATTTTTAATAGGCACACCTCTTAGGCCCTGATCCTGCAAACTCATAGGCACAGGCTCAATTTTAAGCACATGAATTGTTACATGAGCTTAAGTATTTCCAGAATCAGAGCCTTCATCAGGATAAATTGTCTATTCAGGTACCCCAGTGAGAAGGATTCTTCTGTACTCCCTCTATTGCTATACCTTCCTTTTATTTTCCCCATCTTTTGATTCTGTGCTTCTCTGGTCAATTTGACTCAATTACTAAATATATTTTTAAATGAATATGTACAGCAGAATCACTGCCAGCTACTGTGAATAGCCTCTCAAGTAGATTGATGTGTTGTTCCAGCACAGATGCACCAGTTTATCTTACTCCTCCACTATTTCCACCATCCACTGAACATGGTATGCTAATGAAAGATTGTAAGGAGGCAGACAGCATGTAACTAGACTGCAGGTTGATGGAAGGTTGGAGGGGTTTGTTTTTTTCCTTCCCACATCAGTGGTTTTACTAGTTATTAAAGTTTCAATTATATCATTTTCTGGATGGTTTTCTGTCTAAGAGTCTAGAGTAACAGTCTTTGAAGCATGGACACCGCGTGAACCGCCGGCTGAGGGAGGCTAGCCCCCAGCCCCGGCCCTTCCGCCCAAAGTCCCGCTGGAACCAAGCCCCTCCCCACCGGAGCCCAGAGCCACCGCTGCTCCACCCCCACCGCGGCCACCGGCCCACTCCCGCAGCTAGCCCCCAAGCTCCAAAGGAGCATCAGAAAGGCAGGCAGCGCGTGGCCCCAGCCTCCCCAGCTCCAGAGCACAGGTAGGCAGGTGACCCCAGTGCACTGGGGGACTGGACTCAGAGCCGGGAGGAGGACTGGAGCCACAGCCACACACAGAGAGCGGGGTCACGCCTGGCTGTTTGGGGAGGCAATTCCTCCCCCTGCCTGTGCAACTCGCTGCCCATGCTTTGAAGTATTCACGGAATCAAATGTTGTATTTTTTTTCTTAAAGAGAAGCAGGTTGGCCTAGTAAGAGGTGGCATAGTCTAGTAGATTGAACCTAGGTTTCTTGAGGCTCAATCCAGTGTTCTCTTTCCCTCTCTGCCAGTGACCTTAGATAAGTACCTTTGCCCTTCCCCCTCCCACCCTCTGTCTATCTTGTCTATTTATATTGTAAACTGTCTGAAACAAGAATTGTCTCACTGTATTTGTACACCACTTTGCACAATGGGACCACAATCTTCGTTGGGACCTCTAGGTGCTACTATAATATAAAAATAATAATTTTCTATATATTTTACAATTAACAGAGCACAGAAACAGATACAGGTGTTTTTTTTTTTCATTTACACTTTGGGAGCTCACATCATATTCTTAAAGAATATGAACGGTTAGAAAAAGAGAGATGAGAGAGGAAAAAATGGTTACTATCTTTTCCATAACTGTTATTCTTCAAGATGTGTTTCTCATGTCCATTCCATGTCAGGTGCGCATGCACCATGGCCAGAGATTTCTCCCTCAGTGGTATCCATCAGGCCGGCTCTAGTGCCATGGTGCTGCACATGGATGCACTGTGTAAGGGTCCCAGCCAGCCCTGCACCCTCTCAGTTCCTTCTTGCCGGTTAACTCTGACAGAGGGGCAGGAGGGTAGGTCGTGGAATGGACATGAGCAACACATCTCGAAGAACAACAGTTACAGAAAAGATAGTAACCATTTTTTCTTCTTCCAGTGCTTGCTCATGTCCATTCCATGACTCCCAAGAAGTACCCAAGGAGGTGGGCTCAGAGTTCGTGGACATGTGCATTGAAACACTGCTCTACCAAACTTGGCATCATCACCAGCCTGCTGGGTAATAGCATAGTGGGATGAGACGGTATGTACCAATGACCAGGTCACTGCTCTGCAGATGTCTTGGATAGGGACCTGGGCCAGAAACACCACTGATGAAGCCTGAGCTCTCATCGAATGGGCTTTCAAGATGGAAAGAGGTGGGACACCGGCTTCTCATAGCACATACAAATGCAGAAAGTGATCCAGGATGAAATTCTCTGGGCTGAAACCAGTAGGCCTTTCATCCTGTCTGCTACTGCCACAAAGAGCTATGTTGATTTACGGACCAGCTTGGTTCTCTGTGTGGAAGACCATGGTGTGTCTAATATGCAGCATGTGGAGACACTGCTCCTCATGCAGTTTTGGGAAGAAAATGGGTAGAAAATAGCCTGATTACCATGAAACTGCAAGACCAACTTTGAGAGGAATGCGGGGGGAGGAGGGTAGAGGGGGGAGACACAGTTGAACCTTATCCTTAAAGAACACTGTATATGGGAGGATCTGACATAAGGGCCCTGATTTCTGAGACCCTCCTGGCTGAAGTAATCGCTACTAGGCAGACGACCCTCCAGGAGAGATACAACAGAGGGCACGATGCCATTGGCTCAAAGGGAGGGCCCATGAGTCTTGAGAGGACCAGGTTTAGATCCCAAGGTGGGATAGGTTTGCAAATTTGAGGGTAAAGTCTCTCTAATCCCTCGAGAAAGCAAATGGACATTTCATGTGAGAAGACCTACCTTCCACCAAAGGGTGGAAGGCTGAGATTGCCGCCAGATGCACCTTGATTGATGAAATGGCTAGGCCCTGTTGTTTCACATGGAGCAGGTATTCCAGCACCAACTGGAGGGGTGACCAAGTTGGTGAGAGGCCTCGTTGCGAAGACCACACAGAAAAACGCTTCCATTTGGCTACGTAAGTTGCTCTAGTGGACGGTTTCCTACTATCTAGCAAGGTCTGGCAGATTTGTTCTGAACATGTCTGCTCCACCGAGTTCAACCATAGAGCTTCAATATGGTCAGGGGGACGGCCCTGAGGTTTGGGTGGGACAAACAGCCATGATGTTGCGAAGCCTGGTCCAGGACGGGTGAAAGCAGCAGCGGGGTTTCTACTGACAGATCCAGCAGAATGCTGAACCATCATTGTCGCAGCCATGCGAGGGCTGTAAGGATAACCCTGGCTTTGTCCTGCTTGACTTTCAGAAGGACCTTGTGCACCAGAAGAATGGGCAGAAACACATAGAACAGGAGCTCTGTCTGTAGTAAGAAGGCATCAGAGAGAGTCTGGGCTGTGACCGCGTAGAAAGCAAAACTGCTGACATTTCCTGTTCTGCTTGGT